AGGATTTGTTTTCTTCTTATGGCTGAATAATATTCCATTGTGTATATGTACCACATCTTCTTTATCCATTCATCTACTGATGGACACTTAGGTTGCTTCCATTTCTTGGCTATTGTAAATAGTGCTGCGATAAACATAGGGGTGCATCTGTCTTTTTTGAAACCGTGTAGTCCACTACCTTTTTAGGGCTTGTGCCACCTGATCCTTACAGTGACCCTACCACTCAGTCACCTGGCCTTCTTTTCCTGTAGAGGCAGCTCTGATTCTACACTTGGATTTCTGAAGATCATTAATAAATTATGAGTGATTTAACAAACATTTATTAGGCACCTGCCTTTCACAAGGCACTATGGAAATGCAGAGATGAGTTAGGTGCAGGTGAGCCTTACAGTCTTCCCTCAACCCTCAGTGTGCATCAGAATGGCCACTGCAGGGTCTAAAATAATGTAGTTCATCGGGCATCAGCTGCAGAAACTCTGATTCCATTGTTCTGAGCATTTAAAAAAGTTCACAGGTGCGTTGATACCAAAGTCTGACAGAAAACCTACATGAAAAGAAAATTACAGACCACCATCCCTTCTGAACATTGATGCCAACATCCTCAACAAAATTCTAGCAAGCCAAATTCAGCAGTATATTAAAAGTATTATATACCATGACCAAGTGGGATTTCTTCCTGGAATACAGGGATGATCCAAAATACAAAAAAATCAACACCAGCAGCAGGAAGTGGGGAGTGTGGAAAATGGCGCTGGTGCAGCAGCTGGGGCATCTCAGCCCTACCCTGTGGAAGCTTGAAGCTCACAAGGCTCACTCGCTGCACCCCGCCTGCTCGTGCACTTTACACACGAGAGAATTGAAAGCTAACGCTACCAAAGATGTAGAAAGGAATCTAAGCCGTCTTGTCCTTTTTTTTTTCTCGTCTTGTCCTTTTTTATTCACTGAATTCTTTTGCATCATATTGGGACACTCAGAGAAACTTCTAGATGAACAGAATCAGAAGCTGAAGAAGAGATGCGATGAGAGCATAAGAAACACAAATCACATTTCAGCTCCAGAGGCAAAGTGAAAATCAGTAGAGAGAGACTTGGAAAAGTACAGGCGAGAAATTGAGCAAACTAAAAACCATATCCTGCAAGCAGACCACACCTTCAAAACCCAGGTTACCTGCCGAGAAAAAAAGGGCTCAAGACAACTAGACCAAGACTCCGATTTTGAAGAGGTTGGTGATTCAGCAGACCAGGGAGGTAGCCCACTGGAAACTCAGATCGGAAAGCCTGGAAAAACAGAAGCTGGCTGAGGGATACAAGAGGTGGGCACCAATGCCTGGGAGACCCAAGAAGGAGAGCCCTGCGCAGAGAGGTAAGGGGCCCGTGGTGAAGTGCCACAGCTTATTTTTGGCTGCACAAGCACACTGTGCCCTTCGTGTTGCTGTGGGTGATCATGTTGCCTGGAAATGATCCCAATTCCTTAGGTCACCCCAATGATTACCTGTTTTCCCAATCACTAACAGTGTGACATTGGGCAAGGTATTTCAATTTGCTAAGACTCGGTTTCCTCATCTACAAAACAGGGATCATTGCTTCCACAGATTGAGTGCCTGTGGTGTGCAGGCTCCTTTGAAGTCCCTGAGATCAAGGAACTTGTAGAGAAGTGTTTTCCAAGCCTCCATGACCACGATCTGTTATAAGGAAAATATTTTATGCCATGAAGTGTGGTGGCTCGTTGGGTATGTGCTTTCTTCACATGCAGGCACATCCACATGAGAAATGAAACTATAAAATCCTTATTAAGAAATAAAAAAATAAAAATAAAAACCCCAATAACAACCACATGGTCATCTCAGTTGCTACAGAAGAAAGCATTTGATAAAATTCAGCACTCTTTCATGATAAAGACCCTCAACAAAAGTGGAATAGAATGAAATCTCAACGTAATAAAAGCCATCTATGCAAAACCCAGAGCAAACATCATACTCCATGATGAAAGACTGAAAGCCTTTTCGATGAGCAGGAACTAGGCAAGGGCACCTACGTTTGTCACTTTCTTTCAACATAGCCGTGGCAGTTCTGGCCAGAGCAAACAGGCAAGAAAAAAAAAAAAAAAAAAAAAAAAAAAAAGAAGTAAAATTATCTCTGTTCACAGATGTCAAGGAGGAAATGATTTCCTTCAACTCTCTTCAAGTCCCTGGCTCAGTCTGAAAATTAGATACAAGGAAAGATTAACAGAAGAAAAGCATACAAATTTATTTAAATTTTATGCAACAATAGAGCTTTCATAAGGAAACAAAGACCCAAAGAAACAGTTAAGCCTGAGTATTTTCATGCTGGGTTTGATAAAGGGCAGACAATCATGAAGAAATATGAAGATCAAAGAGTATGGGAGGTAAGCGCAGAAAGGGAGGGAAGCTTAGCAAGGCCTGTTCCTTCAGATTCTTCTTGGTGTCCCTTTATCTGTGGAATAAAGATGCTCCTTTTCTTCATGTTAAGGGAGGCATCTCTTACATGAGTATTAGGACCTGTTTCAGGGGAAAAGGGGGCGGGGGTAAGGTAAGAATGACCTTGCTTCTGCCATTTTCTCAAATTCCTTTAGCCTAAAATATTCAGTATGCAAAGGTGCCATGTTTTGGGGTAGCACATCTTTTTTTTTTTTCTTCCAGAATGGAAGTTTTATTTGAATACACTATTCCAAGGGAGGTGAAAAGGAAACTCTAAAAATAATTCCACTGACAATAGCATTGAAAAGAATAAAACACTTAGGAATTAACCACTGAAGTGAAAGACTTGTGAAATGAAAATTGCAAAACATGGCTGAAACTAGAGAAGATATAAATGGAAATACATCCCACATTTATGGATTAGAAGACTTAATATTGTTAAGATGTCAATATTACCCAAAATGATCCACTAAATCAATCTGTATCAAAGTCCCAATTTTTTTTTTCAGAAATAGAAAAGCTCACCCTAAAATTCACATGGAATCATAAAGGACTCTGAATAGTTAAAACAATCTTGAAAAAAAACAAAGCTAGAGGACTCAAAGTTCCTGATTCCAAACTTACTGCAAAGCTACAGTAATCAAAACAGTGTGGTACTGACATAAAGACACATATAGACCATTGAAATAGAATGGAGAGCTCAGAAATAAATCCTTGTTTAATCTGGTGAAATGATTTTGACAAGAGTGCCAAGACTGACTATTCACTATGGCAAGAATAATCTTTGCAGCAAATGATGCCAGGAAAACTGGATGTCTGCACGCAAAAGAATGACATTAGATCCTTATCCAACATCATATACTAAAATTAATCAAAATGGATCAAAGACTTCAATGTAAGATCTAAAATTACAAAACTCCTAGAAGAAAATATAGGGCAAAATCTTCATGCACTGGATTTAGCAATGATTTCTTGGACATGACACCAAAGAGACAGGCAACAAAAGAAATAATAGGCAACTTAGATCTCATAAAAGTTAAAACATTTTCTGTATCAGAAGACAATATCAGCAAAGTAAATAGGTAGCCCAAAGAATGGGAGAAAATATTTGCAAATCATATTTCTGATAAGGGATTAATATCTGGATTTATATAGAGAATCCCCAAAATTCAATAACAAGTACAAACAGAAAATGCTCAAAGGACTTAGTAGACATTTTCCAAAGACATACAAATGGCTAATAAGCACATGAAAAGATGCTCAGTATCACTAATCTTCAAGGAACTGAAAATCAAAATTACAGTGAAGTACCACCCCACACTTGTTAGAGTGCTGCTATCAAAAAGACAAAATAACAAATGTTAGTGAGATTGTGGAGAAATCTGAACCCTTGTGCATTGTTGGTGGGAATGTAAATGGTATAGGTCTCTTGGAAAACACTATGGCAGTTCTTCAAAAGATTAAAAATAGAATTACCATTGATTCAATCATTCTACTTGTGGATACACATCCACGTTCACAGCAGAATTATTCACAATTGCTAAAACATGGAGGTAACCAAGTGTTCACCAGCAGATGAATGGATAAGCAAAAGCTGTTTCTTAAAAAGGAAGACAGTTCTGACATACTCTGCAACATGAGTGAACCTTGACGACATTATGCTAAGTGAAATAAGCCAGTCACAAAAAGACAAATGCTGTATGATTCCACTTATATGAGGTACTTAGCATAGTCAAAAATCGTAGAGACAAAGTAGAATGGTGGTTGCTGGGGCTGGGGGAAGGGAGAATGGGGTGGTAGTGTTTAATGGGTATAGAGTTCCAGTTTTACAAGATGCAAAGAATTATGGAGATGGATGGTTGCACAGCATTATGAATACCACTGAACTGTACACTTAAAATGGTTTAAGATGACATAATAAGATACCATAATAAAAAAAATTGGAAAAAAAATTCACAGGTGATTCTCCTGCCCTTCAAGGATTGAAGCTCTTAGGTTTAGCTTTCAGTGTCATATGCCTACACAAGGCTTTACGTGAATAAATGAAGCAGAGAGTGATGTGTGCCTTAAGATGCACTGATAAGATGTTAGCAGTTGAGAGAGGGAAAATATTAGTTCCTGTTTGAGAAATCAGGGAGAAGTCCGTGGAGGAATAAAGCGGGATGAATCTGGGATTTGGGCTCAAGAGACCTCTCTCACCTCCACAGGTCACTATGACACATGTCACACTGCCTAAGCCTCAAAACCGTTGAGGCCCATTTCTTCATATGTAAGTGAGAAAGATTCACCTCCATGTCACAGGATTACCATGAAGACTTCAAACAATGAAGAGAGATAAAACATGTGGGAGCTCATAGAGGAGTGTTAGACCCGGAGCTGGCAATCAATAAATGGTAATTATGTCTGAAACCGAGCTGGCATGCGAGTCAGACCTTGAAGGATGGGCAGGGTTTAAACATTTAGAGGTGAGGAGGAAGGGAATTAGGGTGGAAGAAGGCAAGGAGAGCTTTTATGGGCTGCACGGTTTCCTAACTATTTCTATGCATGTATCATACAAAATATTTTGGAAGCTTTAAAGCCAAACCAGACATAGATCTTAGGTTCAAGAAGCTACCAGTTATGTCAGTAATTCATTTTTTAAACCATAACGGGCAAATTTACTTTTAGCAAGGTTATGTGTATTCCTAATGGCTGCATGGTTTTGTTTTTTTTTTTTGGAGTACACTTGATATACAGTATTATATTGGTTTCAGGTATGTTTCTGTTTGTTTTTTTTTAACATGTGTTTTAAAAGGTGTTTTTCTACCTTAAGATATTTTATATTATAAAAGTAATTGATGCTCTTAAAAGTTCGAAGAGGAAAAAAATACATAAAATAAATATCACTCCTCCCACATTCTTTCTCACTTCTCTCCTCAGAGGTAACTGTGATGAACACTGTGGTATGTCTTCTCACAATCACTGTTTATGCATGTAAAAAACACATGATATATTTTTATGTACCTTTTTGCCCCTCAATGAAATCATGCCTTCCTTACTGTTCTGGAAATTGCTTTTTTATCCCGTAATAGAGTGTTAATATCTTCCAATGTCAGTATATAAAGCAACCTCATTCTTTATAATAGCAGTATAGAATTTCATTTTATGGATGTTCTATCATTTATTTAACCAGTTTCCTGTAGATGGGTGTTTGGGTTATTTCCATTACAAATAATGCTGAAATGAATATCCTTATACACATATCTGTGTGCCCTGTGTGAGTATGTCTTAGGGAAAATTCCCAAAAGTGGAGTCAAACAAAAAGTTTTACATATCAAGAGACAATGTTAAACTGGTGTCTTAATAGAATGAATAATTTGTACTACCAATAATAGAATATGAGAGTTTCTCTTTTCCTATATGGTTATCAACCTTACATATTAGTAGACAAATTTATTTGCAATCAAATCAAGATAAAAAGTGATTCATTCTAGTTACATTAAATTATTAATAGTTATTTTCACATTTATAAATTTACAAAAATCATTAAAATTTCATAAATTTATTTAAAAATCTTATAAATATGAATAAAATTTAGCATCTTTCTACATGCTTATTGCTAATTATAAACTTGTGGGTAAATTGCGTTTTTATATCCTTTACTCATATTAAGAAATTATCCCTTTATTTTGCAAGATTTTTTCAATTTGACTTTCCCTGTTGACTATGTGGCATTTTTGCCCATGTACAAATTCTTAAATTTTATGTAGTTAAAGTTATTAATCTTTGAAGTCTTTTGAGTTCCCTTACTCCAGGATTTTTTGGTGTAATTCTTTAATTCCATCCTTTAGGTGCATTCTTTTAAAGAGATTCCTATAAAAACATTTCTTTAAAAAAAATGGTTTTTAAATAATATTCATGACATGCCAAAAATAGAGGAAAGTTTATACATTTTTCTCTTTTAACTATATTGTATCAATTATGGTAAAAGTTAATAAGAATATATTTTGTTTATATTAGTTTTCCAAGTCAAGAATTTGGATAGAAAATTCTTATTTGATATCTGAAATTCATTCTAACACAGCTGGACACTGTTCTGATCTGAAAAAATGATAGAGGTAAAATTTTAAAGATGCATTTTCTCAGAAATAGTTTCAAAGATCCTGGAGTCTTCTATTCTCTTCCACAAAATCTTACCTTGTTAAGTATTAGTTTAAGTATAGCTTATATTACTGGCAGTACAGTAGCGTTTTACTTGTCAACAAATTGAGTAGTAACACCTTTCCCTATTTTCAACAAACCTGAGGATGTTTCCTAGTTATTTTCCTATGAGGAAATTTAAATTATCTTCATACACTAAACTTTGTCAGCTAGGAAGACAGTATGGAATATGTTTTATTCTCTGATGATACCACCTTCTCTAATCATTGCCACAAATGCAGTATGGTACATTGATTACCTCTGTTTCATCTGATTTTGTAGTTCCATTTCTGGAACCCTGACGCACTGCTAACTTAACAATACATCTAGGTAAATTATTAATGCTTATGTCATCAGAAACCTTGAAATGAATAACTCATATTTGCTCATCTAAGCCACAAGATTGCATTCTATTTTTTTAAATTCATATACAAGACATCGAATTTTTAAAATGCATATTAAAAAGTTTAAAAATTTAACTGTAAACAAAATATTAAATTTGGCACCAGACACCATCTTTTCTCTCGAACAGGATTCATATATGACTTTATTCAATCGAAGACATGATTCTTCTAGTCATGTCTTTCCCCACCATCTCAAGTATTTGGCTTTCTCTAAGAACTTGTTTCTGAAGTTGCCACTAGTTTAATATTTTCACTCTCAATTTTCTAGCTGCTCCTGCTGTTTATTCACTTCCTCAAAGACAAAATCATCTTATCTCCAGATTATATTTGTGTGGTTATTTGGAATGCCTGCCTCCCACATTCTGTGACAGATTATTTCTGCTTTACTCATCATTTTATTGTTAGAGCTTGGTAATTAGTAGATATTCAGTAAGTATTTGTTGAATAAATGAATGAATGAATGAATTCGTGTCCAAGCTCAAGTCTCATTCTCTTCAAAAAGACATTCCTAACCTCTCCAGCCACAGTGATCACCCTTTCTCGAACTGGGGGCATTTATTGTTGGAACTACTCATTTATCCCATGGAGATGTAGAATTCAACAGGAGTTTAAGGTAGCAAGCTTTATATTGTAAATAATGTAATTAATTGAAACAAAACTCTTGGTTTTATTTTCACAAGTACCATCATTATGGACGGGGATTTGCCTTCTGAAGTATCCTGAAATATATTTGGACTATTGGTATGTTTAGAAATTTTTCTGATGTTTAGCAACATTTCGGTGATTTTTTGAGACTAATATGGTTCCTAAGCTTAGAAAAACAAGCCCGTCATTTTTCTAATGATGGCCCTTCAGATAGTCAAAGATGGCTCTCTTGATCAATCAAAACATAGTCCCTCCTTCAATTATTGTTTTTGTGTTGGTTTCCAGCCTCTTTCATCATCCTGATTTACTTTCCTGTGAACTCACTCTGGTTTGTCAATGTCTTTTTTAAAATAAAATTACTTTTTTTTTTTTTTTTACCAGTAATTTGGTTTTTTTAAAGTATGCTATTCAAATGTCATAAGATAGTAATATAAGACTTAAAATTTGTATAAATTCAGAAGTTACTCTAAGAATAATCCGTGACAATTCTTCACGTCTTTAAGCTCAGAAATTTGAGAAATTATTATTTTTTATTCAGTAATAGATTACCTTTGTCTGGCAGCTGTCAACGGTTGTTGGAAGATTGTGTAGATCGCAAACCAAATCTGTATCTCACAGCTTAAAATTATCTGACTTGCTCTGACCGCTTGCTGTTGAACCTCAAAAGGATTTAAACAAGTAAGTAACAAAATACCGGGCTTGTTTTGGTGTGAGGAAAAGATTTAGTCTTATAACTATTACCTGCTAAGGACCCAAACCCAGTGTTTAATAATAATAATGATCAGCTCTTGCCTGGGCTCAACAAACTCTACCCTGCTCTGGTGAGGGTATCAGCATTCATTTAAAAGACAATCATTAGTTTGAGTTGTCATTACAAAGCTTACTAAATTGCTGATAAAATCCTTTATTCCCAAGCAAGAATTGTCCTTTTTAGTCCTTTATATGTAATTTATGCTCCACTCAAGAATATTATAATAAATAATAAAGTTGCTCAATAGTTAAGCCTCAAAAGAAGGCAATAAATGTTACAGAAAAAAAAGTAGCAAGTAAATATAAATATATATAAATGTATTAGAAGAGGTATGTTGTCGGGTCGAGGAGGGGGTCTTAAGCCTCTCTACTGAAATGGTTTTACTCTCTGGCACATTGTAATGATCATTACATGTTAGCTCAATGAATGAAAAACACTCAAGCTTTAGGGAATTCTACATTGGGGACAACACATTATAAGCAAGGTCCTTGGTTTCAACAGAGTATCGGGCAACTTTTTTTCCAATTTCAGTTTCAATTGTTACTATATTTTCCATTTCAATATTCAAGAACTTAGTATGAGTTCAACATAGCACTAATAATTATTAAAAAATAAAAATAAACCATGCTCATTTTCCTAATTGTATAAGTCAATCTCCTATAATCCAAATTTGTATATTATAAATTACTTATTTTCTTTCTTTATGATGAAATTTACTTGGGCTACTTAGGTAATAGTATTTGAAAGTAGCCCATAAATGAGCTACTGGCCCTGGACGGAGCCAGCTGCAACAACATGTTCAAGCAACCGAATGAACAAAAGAACCTTTGGAATGCACCTGGTTGTTCAAAAATAGCAGGTTTTTTTTTTTTTTTTAAGACTGTAAGGAACTCAAATTTCTTTTTAAGGATTCTGTTACTGCCTTTCCTACAGAAATCACCCAGATTACTTCTTGACTTCTTTGACAACAGAGGAGGTCATGCTGTTTGGTGTTAGCTCAATAGCTCTGAACTTACAGGAACTTTCTTTTCTGAATAGTATGTCCTAACTACAGCAATTCCTGCATTGCTTGCACATTTGAACCTTTTATATCCCTGGATTACAATATATATTCTTTATGTAAACTTTCAAGAGAAAAGGCATTCAAGGTACATGTTTACATTTTATATAAATATAGATATTTACATACATGTTTTATACATATTATATGTATTTTTCACATATCTGTGTTTGTATAGCAATAACTGAAGTCTGAAACCTATAATCATACTTGCAATTTTCATACTTTCAAAAGCATATGCCAATTCAAAATTATTTTTGGAGGACCCGTCAAACTTTTAAAAATTTTGTTCAGAAAGGAGAGTCTATGCTCAGGGTCCAGTTTGCCACCATGAAAGCCTAGAAAGAGTTATTAAGATTATTTTGCTTTATTTATTATGATAAAGACAATTGTATCAATTGAGGTAATCACTACAACTTCCAAAATCATTTTAGGTTAAATACAAAAATTCTAAACTAAAGCTGTTTGGATGTGAGATAAATCTATAACAAATTGTAAAACGTCCATTGATTCATTATTGTACAAGCAGTTATTCAGAGTCCATTATCTGTTGTGTACCGTTTCAGACACTGGAGTACAAAAATCAATACAATATAAAATTCTTGCCTTTAAGGAGCTCACATTTTAGTGAGTGGTGGTAGTTTTTTTCTCCTCTGCAGGTATTTATTTAACATGTAGTTTCCATAAACAGCTACAGAAATAGTATGTTACAGAAGCTAAAGAAGAAAGAAGAATTAGGTGAAGACTTCACAAGTGGGTTTGTCTTGTAGGTACTGGGAATTGGCTGTTGAATTAAATTGCATTTCAGATCTATTTAAATCCATATTGTTGACACTACAGTGAAAGCAGTGAAACTTGTCAGCAGATGATTAAGTTTTATGGTTGATGTGCACAGTTTTGTAGCTTGGGAACATTATCAAGTTTCTGGGAAAAACGTCCTTCCTCCCTCCCCACCCTTCCTCTATCATTAAATCAGGGGCTGAGTCTATTGCTGTTAGGTGTGTTCTCCGAATAAAGGTGTATCGCAATCATTCTTTTTTCCATTTTTCACTGACAATCTGAGAAGAGTTACTTCAGTTTTGTTTTGTGGGTTTTTTTTTTTTCCTCCTGGGGCAAGAAGCGTTTAGATTGTTGGTTTGTTATGTATTCCATAAGGGAAGGTCTGCACTTTACTGGCTACTCTTTTAATTCCCCAGATCACCAGTTAGTGGTATTATTTTGGTTGAGTGGAACATTCTTTACCAGCAGCTAGAGGAGGTATGCACGTCCCTAGATTACTGGCTTTCCACTGACTAGTCTTTTAGGAAAGCAACACGGTTCCCACGGAAATTAACAACCACTCAGGTCGAACGGGCTTGAAATCTTCAGGCCAAAGTGGAGGAAAAAAATTGGATTGGTATGGTTTGGGTTACTTTGAAGAGGGAGGGCGGGAGTTAGCGAATGCATAGAGCGTCAAATGGGACTTTATTAAACGACCCATTAAAACGAAACCTCTGTTGGCCCCAGAGGATTGGGAAAAAAAAAAAAAAAGAGCTTCAAAAACCTAAATTCAAACAAAATTTAGGAGACGTGGGAGACGCATAAATTCAGTCTGGATGTTTTCAAGACCACCTCTCCGGTCACCTCAGGCTGGAGACTGGGTACAGGTGTGAGAATTTTGCACAGTTTTCGAAACTATTTTTCAACGCAAAACGGTGCACCCCAAGAACTTCAAGGTAGGAAAGCAAGTTCCGCAGCGCCGCGTTCTCCTGGGTTGGTATCCTTTCCGCCTTCCCGTCGCGCCACGCCCCCTTCGCCACCGCCCGCAGTCAGGGGGCGTTTGTTTACGTGACGTCATCCGTAGTAAGCAGTCCCCGCCCCCGTTTCCCTCTGGCAGCCGCGTTTCCCGCGCCGCGCGCTTCTCCCCTTAAAAGGACAATAGCGGCCCCGGGGGCGCGCGCGGTCGCCGGGCCTTCTCCCCTCCCAGCCCTGGACGCGCGCGCGCGCCCGTATGCAAATAAGCTCGATTCAGGAGAATTTTGTACGGGAGCCGCGCATGCGCAGAGGGAAAGCGGAATCTACACCTTCCCGGCCGGCGGTAGCAACTGCAGAAGTGCAGGAGACAATCTTGCAGGACAAGGCGGCGGCGGAGGAGGGAGCGACCGGAGGGGGGTTGGCCTGGCGTGCACTCCGCACCCCGGGAACGTTAGTGCGCGTGGAGCGTCTGCTTTTGGAAGGTGAGTGCCTGGAACCATTACTCTGGTGCGAAACTGCCTCCCGCGGCTTTGATTGCGGAGTGCTCTTTCCTCTCTCGCCTCCCCCACCTCCCGGCCTCTCCGCACACACACGCCCAGGAAGTTTTGTCTTGGAGATGGCATCGTTTGGAGCGCTCTTTTCGCGATCCTCAGACCCTCCGATTCTTCTGGAAACACATGTTTAGGGTGTCTTTTTTAACTGGGGAGGGGTATTCGAGGCAAACCGAAAGTCTTGGTGGGGGCCGCGAGGGGAGCCTGGCAACGGGTGAGGAGTCGCTGGAGTTGAGGGCTCCGCGTTGAAGGTGACAATGCCTCCTCGCGGGCGTAGCTCCCTGGCGAGGAGGAGCCCGGTGGCTGCGAGGCCCGAGGGGAGGACGCCTGGGTGGCAACCGCGGAGGCCCCCGGGTCGCGCCCCGCTAGGGGCGCGCGCCGCGGGGGGCTCGGCGCCGTTGGGGCCCCTCGTGGTGGAGTTGATGGCAGCCCCCAGCGCGTGTTTGATAACGGGGAGGACAATAAGCGCCATTCGCCCGGCGACTAAGTTGCCGTCGCCTCGCGAGCTGGCGGGCGTGCGGGGCTTGAGGCCGGCCTTTGGGGTGCACGCGGCCTGGCGACGCCGGCCCGACTCCGGAGCGATGCGGCTGCGACAATGAGAGCGACACGCGGCCGCTCGCGAGCAGCGCGGCTCCCGGCGGCCGCGCCCAGGCGGCGCGTCCGGTCGTCTGGGGAGCCCCAAGTTCTGCGGGCGGCCGTTCACCTGTGGCGTGGATGGGGGCGCCACGGCGGCGGCTCCCCGGGGCGGCCGTGGGCGGTTGGGACGGCCCGGCAGCGCGAGGGGGCGCGGGCGCGGAAGGAGGGCGAGAACTCGGGGCTCGGCTTTTTGTGCCGAACGTGCCAGCACGTGCTCGGGGCTGCGACCCCCGGTCTGCCCGAGCGCCCCGCTCCGGCCGGCGGCGAGGTGCGGGCGCTGTCGGGCCGGCCGGCCGGCAGGACAATGATTTGCCGATGATGGCGTCCTGCCAGTTTAAAAAGCAGAGTGAAAGTCGCCAACTCCCCTCCGGTGCGGGGCGGGCAGGCGGGCGTTCCTCGCCACGGACTGCGCGGAACTCGGACTGAAAGGGCTCGCGGCTGCGGGGAGGGCGGAGGGCAGGGCCGCGGGTCTCGCCCCCGAGAAACAATCCGATATCGCTGGTGCTGCACGTAGGCAGCGCCCGGCCGGACAAAACAAAGAGCCGCATGTGCGGGTGCGGGCCCCGCCGTCGCTCGGGGCGGCCGCCGGGTGCGGGGCCGCGCGGCCCGGGCCCCCCGAAGTTCGGGCGAGTCTCGGGAGGGGCTTGTGCCTCTCGGCCCGTCGCGGGCAAACTTTGGCGGAGCTACTTGTGCGAGGCGCCCTGTTGGCGCGGGGGAGGCGGCGCGCCCCGCGCTCCGGGCGGGGAGGGGGCGGCGGACTCGCGGCCCCCCGCGCTGGGCCCGGGGCCAGCTGCGCTGGCCGAGCGGCCGGGAGAGCGGGGGCCCCCGGCCCTCGGCCCGACCCCCGCGGCCCGGAGCCTGCGTCTGGGAGGTCTGCGGATTCGCCTTTGAAGTCGCACTGTTGCCATGTTTGAATTACGTCAGGGCAAAGCCATGAGGAGGAACAAGCCCCGGCGGCGCGGCGTGCGGGAGGCGCGGCCTGCGGGAGGCGCCGCGCGGGCGGGCGGGCGCGGGGCCCGTTGTTCCGGCGCAGGTGAGGCGGGCGGCTCGCCTCGCCTCGCGCGGCCCTCGCCCCGGCGACCGGCCCTCCGCGCGAACTTTCTTCGCGAGCCGAGGAGTTTGTTTACCGACAAGCCCGCCGGGAGCGTTTCTAGCTGCCGCCTCGGTGCGTCTCCCCGGCCGCCGCCGCCGCCGCCGTGGGCCCGCGGGTAAGCGGCGTGGGGGGCCCGGGGGCGGCGGGGGGACGCGGGCGGCGTTCGGCCGCTCTCGGGGCGACGGGCGAGCGCGGCGAGCACCCCCACCCGCGGCC